TATTTTTATTGTATTTTTATAAACCTACCACCAGGTTCATTATGTTGTCTTTCCCTGTCAGTCTAAGGGAGAGTAAGAATTGGTATAAAAAATTGAGAAGAAACTGTGGGGTTACTTAATAAATTTGGAGGTAAAGCAAATTTATCAGGCAAATGAAATTTTTTGAGAACTTAATGACTTTTGAAATGATGTCTGGGTTGTGTCGGGACACAAAACAGACTGCTAAGGGTAAGAAGAGATACATTAACTGAATCTATCAAGAATTCGAGGGGCACACTAAAGATTTAAATAAGGGGAGTAATGAACTTAAAAAAATATTTTGCGGTAAAATTAAGTTTTTAACCTAATATCGTTCCTTTTTGCTTTGCATCAATGTAGGTAGTCCACATCAATCAAGTTTTTTCAAGATATTGCTGAGTTGTGACACATTGTTTTAAAACCACAAATATTATATGACTTGCGGAACCAGGGCCAAGCCACTTCGCATATCACATTACAAAAGAGTTCGTCAGAAATAATTTATGGGACCAGCAGGCTGGTAGCAACTACCAAATCTTGTTTAGGAATTTGTCCTCCATCTCAGTAGGAAAACAGACATAAAGGCAGTGACTAGAATAAGCAAAAAGGAGTCTACAGCATAATCCTGTCTAAAAACATTTTCTTCCAAACAATATGAATCATTTCTGTCTGTGCTCTGCTGTTGACAAAGCCCTTAAAAAAGTAAAGGTAAAGCAAGGACAGTATCCACACACACACAAAAATACCTATCTCAAGGAAGGAAAAGAGGAGAAAACAGGGCCAGCTAAGCATTAGACATCACAATTCATTATCAGTATTAAGGAAAATAATTTAAGTCAGATAGTTAAGGAGAGAGAAAACTCATCTGTTCTGTCAGTCCTGGGTTATAAATACCAATGCAGATGCTGAAGATACGACCAACACAATGCAAACCATTTATACAAAACCTATGAGAAAAATCTAGGCCAACAGCATTGTCAAGGGATGAGAAAGCTATTTGTCCTACTTCTCCCTAATTATTTTATTCTCACATCAATCAGCATTTTAAAAAGAAAGTTACACAGAAGGATGGCTGGAGATACATGTCAGAGCAGCTGGCAGGTTTCCACATAAGTAATGTTCCTCCAAAAAATGACAATGACAGTAGGCACTTGGTCTAAGTCTGTATCAAAGCCCGATTTCCTCTTTCTTTAAATAAATTTACTTATTTAAATTAGTTTCAAGTATACAGTACATTGGTTAGACATCTATATAGTTCAAAAAATGATTCCCCCAGTTGTTCCCTCCCTCCCCTGGCCCTCCACCTAGCCATCATATTAATGCTAACTGCATTCCCTGTGCCGTGCTCCCCATCCCTGCGACCATCCATCAGCTACTAATTTGTACTTCTTCAATCCTTCACCCCAACTCCCCTCCCCTCTGTCTGTCACCGAATTGTCCATGATATTTGTGAGTCTGTTTTTGAATAGTATGTTCATTTTGTTCCTTAGATTCTGCATATAAATGAAATCATACAGTATTTTTTAATTTGACTTTCTTCTATGGTTTAAAAATTAATAGTTTTAAAACTACTTCTGAATTTCATCAAGCCTCTATGTTCATCTCCTTCTGTTTAGGGAATACAAGCCATGGAGAAGTGGTTCTCAAACTTGAGTGTGCTTCAGAATCCCCTGGAGGGCTTGTTGAAACTCTACTGGGCCCCACCCTCAGAGTTCCTGATTCAGCTTTAAAGTAGAAGCTTTAAGATCTAGCTCATGGTCCCATACTTGCTCCTTTTCTTCTGATATGACACCAGTAATGTCTCACATAAGGTCTATTCCTTCAGGCTGGGTCCCAGGCAGAAGAACCAAAGCTGACCCATGAGAGTCTTGTAAGTGAGAAATAAACATTTGTTGTTATAAGCCACTGAGATTTTGGGATTGCTATTATAGCATGACATATTCTTACTAATACAGAATCCTTGTATTAAGCATA